CTGGTTGCGGCAAAAGAAAATATGCATAGAATATCATCTGCTGATTGCTAATTTAATCAACTCCTTTCATCTGAAAATATGGATACCGTGATAAGATATTGTTGGTTTTTTTGGATTTTGATTTACTTTGACATTGCTGACACATCTGCCGACGTCATCTGTGAAAAAAATAAACAAATACAAGATGTATGGAATGAATCCTCTCTTTTTTGTTTTCAAAGAAATCTTACACCCATTAGTAGGAATGAAAACTTTAACAAGTTAAATTTTATGCAGTGATGCGTGTTACCTCACCGAAACACTTTGTTTGGCATATATTGCGCCGTCCTAATGCCGGCTAAAAAAAAGCACTTCTCATGAAAATTTGCCCTTGGATTTGGACGAACTAACTGGTAAAGGGTATTACAACTGACTGCACATGTACCAATGTCAACCGACTTTGATGATATAATCAAAGTGCTCTGTGAGCAAACTCGTGAATTGACACACGATTTTTTGGATTATGTTTAATGTTATCTGGTTTAGGGAATTTTGTGGTTGATTGTCGTATCTAGAGTACGAGCAGTAGTTCAGTGTTCGCTAATGTAGCAAAGAAACAAAGTAACGTTGGGATAGAAGGCATTACAATTGAAATGATCATGCTATTGCATTTGACAAGGGTGGATGATGTCATGTGTTTTAAACGTATATCATTTCTGTTTCTGGTTCAAAAGAAAAGGTTGAAAGAAAACGTGGGTGAAAAGTGAAATTTACTGCCTATCATTGTAAATATTAGAAAATCAAGGCAATACTGTCTTAATGAAAACATTAACGTTTCCCTCTTTGTCTAATGAGACAAACGGGAACGAGTTTTGAGTAATATAACTGAGCCAAGACTGCCACCGTCATTTTGGATCTCCGCCTGGGTAGATTTTAGTCACGTGCAAGGCAACGTATAAGCAGTAACAAGATAGAATTTCATTTCAGGCCTATTTATCAATTTTGTGGTGTATGACTTTCGCATTTTAGTCCGTCATATGTATTTTGAATCTTCAAATTGTCTTGAAACTTAAAAGAAAATTGGTCTTTAAAAATTCACTGAAAATCGGTAGCTAAAATTGTTTGTTTAGGTGTTATTTGATTTTCGTGTTAACTTGTAATTTCGTTAGTCGCCGGCATCTTTTGTTGCTTCGCAGAGGAAAAACACACGATACGAAACGTAATGATCGATTTTGTCCTCAATCTCACGCCGTCACAGAAAAAGCCTTTGAACATCTGTAAACTCCGAGCGCTTCGCAGTAAGTGATATTTTCAATGAATCTTCGGATTGTTTTCAAGTTAAAGGATTGTCAATGACAATTTTATGAAAAACGAAGGTTGTTCTGTTATTTCAGTGTGAATCCTTGCATGCTGCCAGTCGCTAGCGCCGCTTGTTGAAACTAAAATGAAAACAAAACTCTTTTCAACCAATCGAGCGAGCGAGTGCCATTCCCCACATCGTATCTACAACTCGCTCTTGCGCATGTGCGCAATTCATGAGTTAAAAATTATATTGTTTCCTCTTCAGTCATTCTCAGTTAGTCTGAAGGAGCCCTGTGAGTCATTTCATAGAAACGTCATTTAAAATAATTTAAGATTCACTCGCAAAACCCAGGAAGAGTCTCATGAAACGCAAGAACTTACTAGGGAAATCGGTTTTGCCTGGAAACAAGCATGCTCTTTTATTTTTATTTTCAACCTTTTTTGAAATGTTACTCTGTTGGTTTTCTCACCTGCAGATGGTTTTAGCTCTGTTTCAAGAAATCTAGTGGTGTCCTTTAAGATAGTAAGCATTGAGGTAAAAAAAAAAAACGTAAAAACGTATATCAAAACTTTTTAAGTTCTTGTCTGTGAACTACTCTCGCTCCCGAGGTCCTGATCTCGAGCCAAATATTTCCCTGTCCGGCCCTCTTTCTAAATCAATAGATATATAGTGGTTATAGTACGTGAATTGCTGTCGGGCTGCACATCTGATTATAAACTGACGAGAATAATAAGAAAAATGCCACTACAGCTCTTTTGTAGTAGTGTTTGTTTTCCCCTTTTTCAATCTCGCTTTTTCCCCGTTTTTGTCTACAAATCGCTGATCCAAGATCTTGGTACTTTTACCTTTTGCCCTTGCGAGTGTGGCTGTGATGTGCAAATGATAAAATGTTTTAACCGAAGTGCAGATGCAGAAAGGAAAGAAATGGGCAAATGAAAAATTGGCTTTTCGGTAGTAACCCCGAAGAATGCAGCTATAAATTCTCGTGCTGTTTCCGTCGCTAAGCGAAGGTTCTGCGCTTTTCGTTGGGAAATCGTTTCATGACTAAACTTCCCAGCGATCCGTGCGTGACGGTTCTTCAACTTTGTCGCCATGTTGTGCGGAGGTTGTAGGAAACGTTGGTAACTGAAATTGCCGTTTGATATGTTTTTTTATTTTTATTTTTGTTTATCTATTTATTTAAAGCCGACTTAATCAGTGTTCGTACCTCCTATTTGATTTTGGTCATCTCACTTAAATTCATTGCCGGCCAAAGACCAGGATCATGTAGCAAATCGCTCCTACGTCGGATCGCAGGAAACAAGGTGTTTACGCCCAATATGGTCAGGTAGGCTCATTTCTTATCAGGAAAATCTTCAGCTCAAAATGGCATCGGATAATAAGGATTTTTTTCACGTTGATCTAAGTTTAAAAGAAAGGGTACTAATTTTCTATGCAGAAGCTTTTTCTGTATTGTTAGACGAGGATTGCGTGACGTTTCAAAGAGTAAAGTATGTTAGATATAGAATAATACATGGACTGCGCGTAAATATGGAATTTCTCTTCGAGTGTTTACCGTAACTCGATAGCTGACAAGTGAACACGAGAAGAGAAATTTTTCACTGTTTTAGCAGCCATAATCAGAAAAAATTCTGACATATGACCATGGATTGAGAATGATAAAGGCTTTTCCATTCATTCATCAACCTGACCAAGTGGTGCAAAAGACAATTGACGTGCCAGCAACTGATTGCCGATATCAAAGACGAAAAAAAAAATCATATTTTTTCATGTGTGTTGTTACAGCTTTTCTCAGGGCTGGAAATCCTTGTATAACACCATAGTTTATGTGATAAATTTTGGTAGCGTTGAATATGCACTGTGTGTAGCTACTTAAACTCCAAATATCCTTTGCTATTCATATCTGGGCTACTCATGCTCAAAAATATTGCAATCATTGCAGTAGTAAATGAGTTATAATCATCTCTTTATGCTATGTTATCTCACTGTTCTAGGATACACTAAAACAACCATTCACCTTAGTGTCTGTGGCTAGCAATGGATGATTGCAATGGGTAATAACCTTATTGTTTAGCAGTCCATTAATGATCCACCACAAGCCACCTCCTTGTGTTGAATAGTACAGATAACTTATTCCATGATACATCACTTTTGACTTAAGTTTCAGTGTTTAAACTATTATCAATTATGTTGGACAGCTTACAATAAAAACATGGTAGCTTGATGAGAATTTTCACTAGCCCCAGTCTATTGGACAGCACTTTGGTCACCCTGATCATGTAGGCCACTTCACCTTGTTACAGTATAATCTAACTAACAGAAAAACAATACAATCCTACAAACTCAACTACTTTATTAAACAACGAGTAGTATTCATGAAAAGGAGCAACTCCTAAAGACAGTACAGTACTCAGACTCAATAAACTTACTTAAGCCCATTACAGTCTATAACTTAGCTCACCACTGAGCCAACCTCACAGTTTCCTCTGTTTCTTGAAATTAGCAATCTTCCACTCTAGCTCTCTCTTATGGCATAGCTCTTTATGCGGTCTGTCACTCCTGACAACAACAACAACTACTACTACATAACCAATCCTTATATACATTCACAAAGTGTTCTGAAACATTCCAAAAGCTTACAAAAGAACTATTTTAGTAGTATTACATACATGTAATAACTGTGTGACTTGATGAAATGTTCTTGAAAGTTCTGTGGTATGCATGTTAGCATGACGAAGCAGTCTGGAGATTTCTAGAAGCTTATATTTACAACAACAATTACTCATAACAGCCTCTAAGACTTGACCTTCTTACACTAGATTAATGAAAATAAAAAATTTAACCTGTTTATGGCTTTCATTTACTTTCAAACCATGATCCTAAAGTTCTAACTTATAAAACTGGTTTCTTCTGATTCCTGCTTGCTGTGTTAGAGCATAGCTGATGTTTAATTTACATTCAACATGTTCCTATATATGTAAATTCTCTTTCCTACCATCTATTACTTAACATTCAATGAGCATCCACATTCTTATTTTATTGGCTGTTCAACTATCCACTTACCATCTGATTTGACTGATCAACTTTCTGACTGGCTTACTGACTGACTGATTGATTCCATCACTCACTGACTGGCTCCTTGACTGACTGACAAACTGACTGACTTTATCATTGACTGACAGGTAAGTTGAATGACTGACTGTTTGACTTGATCACTTACTGACCGGCTCCTTGACTGACAGACAAACTGATTGATTTTATAACTGACTGATAGGTAAGTGGACTGACTTGAGTGATTGTCTTCATCACTGACAGGCTGACTTATGGATGGAAAGATCGACTGACCTGCTCACTGACTTAATGACCCACTGCTTCATTGACAGACTGACTGACACACTGATTCACTTACAGCCTGATCAACTCAATGACATACTGATTGACTGACTAACTCACTGATTCAATGACTGCTGTATGGACTTACTCACAGACAGACTGTCAGCCTATAAAACTGACAGAGAAGTGCTTACATGCCTTTTAAGGTGGTACGTTTTAAGTTGGGCTTCAGAACTTTATCCTTACCATGAAATTTTTCCATACCCCAATTAAAAAGGC